CTTTTGGTACTTTCTCAACATGTTATGTATTTTAAAGGCAGTGTGATATTGGTAGTTACTACATGGGTTTTATGAAAACGATTTCCTTTTTGGAAACAACATTCTGGCACTTTTGGATGTATATGTATCCATTGAAAACACCAACTTTTGTTAACTATTTGGATTTTTGTTTATGCATGCATTGAAAGCAACATACAGACCAATAAAGTAGAACACTTTATAAAAACAAAGTGGACCAAACATGGAAACTATATTGGTATATACAATATGGACTAACAACATACATAAAATTTACAACATGGAATCTTAGTTAGAATTCCGTTCACATTCATTAATATTTGATAGATTTTTTTACATAACCTGCTAACCCTTTTACATTACCAAAAGAGATGCAAGCTTATACATCAAGCATATGTTAATACAGAAGAACCCACCATTTAGCCATAACATGCCAATCCAACTATCTATCTACCCCCAAAAGAACTTCTAACATTAACGCTCAACCATGATGTACATTATGGGTATAATCTACCCTAAAAGAAAACTCAACCAACTATACTAGTGAAATATCATGAAGTACACCAACACATTAATCAAACAAGAAGTACAAAGGTATAACTAAAGTCTCATCTTTCTCTTTAAATTTGCAACCTGTAATTGCAATTCAACATACTTCTCATTCTCAACCAACCAAAGAGCTTTATGTTTCTCCACCTTCCTCTGTAGCCTCTCCAATTCATCATTGTTGTTCAGTTGCTCAATGCTCCTATTATGATACAAAATATAGTCTTTGTAGTGTTGGTTAAGTGGTGGGTCTATCCACTTCAAGAAGTTACAATTATCTCTAGATGTCTACAATAATAACATACTTATTGACACATAAATTAGGGTTTTCGATAACTGAATCAAACCTTTTGTTTCGAACCAAAACTAATACATTTTTATTGACGATATATCTACGATCTATCCGAAAACAACAAATAAATCAGTTCTTATCCAACAAGAACTAACCCTAGAAAATTCAGGGTTTTTAGATTCGCATACTTTGACCAAAAAACACCAATTTTGTCAAGGTATAAGCATACAAATCCTTAAAAATGCTTATCATTGATTTCTTGCGGTTAAAGAGCTGCCTGATAGGGTTATCACCATTTGTAGACACACGTTCTTTTGAAATCATTGGTACATGGCATAAGCACTTGGTGTAATCTTGGTATTTCTTATGAATATCACCTTTCGTTGATTGATATATACACACACACACACGTTTACATCAAAAATGGCCAAATACTATGGGCCAAATAAAAATACAAATACAAGACTATAAACCATACACTAACAACCCCCCGCAGTGAGAATGGGAGGAGAAGACCGTATGTTTAAGCTGGACCGAAAACCAAGAAATAATGGTGAGGGGAGACTCATGGTAAAAATATCGACATACTGAGACGAAGACAGAACATAAAGGACGCGAACCTGTCCCGTTGCAACTTTGTCGCGAACAAAATGAAGATCAATCTCAATATGCTTAATTCTTTGATGATGAATAGGATTGGACGACATGTAAACGACACTAACATTATCACAGTAAACAAGAGTAGCCCGGTGAGGAGAGTAATGTAGCTCTAAAAGTAAATTACGAATCCAACAAGTTTCTACAACCGTATTAGTGACTCCCCGATATTTGGCTTCAATACTTGAGCGTGAAATAGTGTTTTGTCGCTTCGAAGACCAGGACAGGAGATTGTGACCTAAGAAAACACAATAACCTGAGGTAGATCGACTAGTAACCGGGCAACGTGCCCAGTCGGCATCCGAATACGCCACAAGATCGGATTATGAGATGTAAATAGCTGAAGGTCATGATCGGTTGATCCTCGAATATAACGCAAGATGCGTTTTAGTGCTGTAAAATGTGGTTCCCTGAGATCATGCATGTATAGACATATTTGCTGAACAACATATGTAATGTCAGGTCTCGTAAATGTAAGATACTGCAAAGCACCTGCAAGACTGCGCTATAAAGTGGGCTCAGCAACAGGAGACCCATACCCATCAAATTTAGCAGACAAATCAGGTGGTGTTCTGGTCGGCTTGCAGTTGAGCATAGACACACGTTCAAGAATCGCATTGGCATATTTTTGTTGTGAAAGAAATAGACCATTGGATGTTCTCACAGCTGAAATACCAAGAAAATAATGAAGATCACCAAGGCCAGTCATAGAGAACTCCGTACCTAATAGTGTTATGATGTGAGTCGGCAAGTGCGACGAGGAACCAGTAAGAACAATGTCATCGACATAGAGAAGTAAGTATGCCATATGAGATCCCTTCCTGCAGATAAAGAGGGAGGAGTCACACTTGCTATAAACAAAACTAATGCGTGAGATAAATGTGGCGAAGCGCTGAAACCATGCCCGAGGTGCTTGCTTGAGACCATAAAGAGATTTCTGAAGGCGACACACATGATTAGGTTTTGAAGGATCTCGAAAACCAGGAGGCTGCTGCATATACACTGTTTCCTGTAAATGACCATGAAGAAAAACATTCTTCATATCTAACTATGTGATGGGCCACTTGTGAGTGACAACGATGCTAAGAACAATGTGAATGGTGGCAGGTGAATAAGAGGATCCAGTCATTGTGAAGATGAAAGATCAATGAAAGATGAAGAAGAAGAATTAGAGAAGGCAGTCGACAGAACAGAAGGCGACACCTAGGTTTGGAGAAATTTCAGGGAAGTTTGATACGCTCTGATACCATTTAATCTTGCGAGGTTCATTGACATAAACAACGAGAAGATATTAGGATGATGTAGAAAACAAATATGAAGACATTGTTGAAGAGCACAAAAATGGAGCTTTGACTGATTTTTTGGTCTGTTCAAACCATCGGGCGGGCTTCTTAATGAAGCCAATTGAGAGAAGAGCTTATATGTGGCCGTCTACATGGCCTTAATGGTTCAGTTCATACATGTCCAAATATGTTGTTGACCTCTTATTCTACTACTTTATCCTCTTATTCTACTACTTTATCCTCTTAAACAAGTTGTTTCTTACTTAAATGACTTCAAAGGTTAAAAAATAATTAAATAATCATTTAAAACCAAAAGTCTAATCTTATGGGGTTTTCACGACAAAAAAAACCCCATATTTTAATTATATGTCTTCTACTCATTTTCTAACATGGATTTTTTTATGTTGAAATAATCCGTAAATAAAGAATTCTAAACCAAACAAATATACAAACCGATAAAAGAATAAGCAAATGGCAAGTACGTGACAAAGAGTATGGCCATGACTTCTACGATCTACGAAATCTACACTAAAAAATAAAAAGAATAACAAACCATATCTATCAACATTAATATCACGAAATCATAATGTCTCCGGGGCTAAGCCGCTTTTATCTACAATAAGTTATCTATTATCTATGGGTATATTACTTACTCCATTATTATATAATTATTTGATTATTTCTGTAGTTGTACATAATTACATATACATTATAAACACAATAAAACCTCGAAATCAATTAGAACTCGAGTCAGGTTCTTATAAGCTCGATAGTTATATATTTTGATTTTTGAGCTCCTTTTTGTATTTTAAACTCGATCTTCATTTATAAATAAATAAAAAATAAACTCAAAAATCTGAACTACAAATGAATCTTATGAGAATTCAGAAATCCATCGTGAGGGGCACATAGAAATGAAAACAGCCGCCATGTGCCGACTTATTTTGACGTGCGTATTTTCCATTGCCACATCACCATCCAATCCTTTCTTTCCACGTCAGCATTCCCATCCCCTGCTCATTCAACGGTCCAGATCACATCCAACTCATCCTAAAATCCAACGGTGGTCCACCTTCTTCCAGGCCCTTCGTAGTTCGTACCAAATATTACGGCAAAAAAAAAAAATATTATAAAGAAAAAAATTTACTTTCTAAAACTTATGTCTAAAAATTATTGTGGTTAACGCTATAAATTTTTAATTTATAGTGTTTGAATAGTTTCATTTATCAAATGACACGTAACTACAATTTTGTAAAAAATTTAATTATGATTTATAACATTTAATGTGTATTCAAGAAACATATTAATTGATACACGTAATAGTCTCGTCTATATATATAGTAAATGTAATTATGTTAAAAAAATAAATTACAAATGCACTAAATTAAAAGTATACTTTATTGTTAAATATTGTACAAAAGTTACACATTGGCCCCTCACTTGTATATAGATAATGATGAGACATGGAGATGGTTTTAGAGAGAGAAAGCGAAAGAGTTTTAGAGCGAGAAAAAGAAGCAAGAACAGGGAGAAAGGGTTTTTTTTATCTGTCGTGTCTCTCCGTTTGAAGCTTATCCCTTCACGAATAAACCCTCCCGCCGCCGTGTTCTCTCCGGTTGATTCTGCTATTCGGGTCTTGATTCTTTGTCTGTGATTCCCCTCAAAAGGATCTATTCATTTGGTGAGTTATTCTCTGTTGTTCTTGACCCCCATATCTCCCTTTTCTCAATTTATATATAATTAATCGCCTTACGACAAATTTTTCTTGATAAACTTGACTTGAGATCTCATTGATAGCTCGTTTAATGCTTTTTTTACCATTTCAATTCGAATTTAAGATTTTGTTTGTGGGTTTCCCCAAAGTGTTTGTAATAAAAACCTGATTGTAATATAAACTAGCTATATCGGAAGTCTGTACATATTATCCCAATTGTCTCTGTTTGCTGATACTGTAAAATGTGACCTGTACAAGCTCGATTTCCATGCTTGCTTGTTCTGATAGAGATTTAAGAAACCAATCTTTAGATTTCGTATTTGATTCTTCTTTCTGTTCTTTTGGTACAGATTAGGAAAACAGACTGATTCGAATCAGTAAGATGCACTGATACCATATCCTATCCTGAGAACTTAAACAATCGTCTCCAGATTTAGATCTTATTTGGGATCGAATTGGGAGAATCCATCTTTTTCCCCTCCTTCGGTTCATGTCTCGTAACTCAGACAGTCCAGTTCAAACCCAAATGGCAGTCGCTGTTTTCAACAGTCCCTTAGGGAGAGAATACCATGGAACCAGTAAAATGGAAGGGATGAAGCATTTCACAGGAAGAAGACGAGTCTTTGTTCAAACTGAATCCGGTTGTGTCTTAGGAATGGAGCTAGATCGAAGTGACAATGCTCATACAGTCAAACGAAGGTTACAAATAGCTCTCAGTCTCCCAATTGAAGAAAGCTCTCTAACTTTTGGTGACATGGTTTTAAACAACGACCTCAGTGCCATTCGTGACCATTCTCCTCTTCTCTTAACAAGAAACATCTTACACAGAAGCTCTTCAACTCCATGTTTATCCCCAACTGGTAGAGACATCCGCCAAAAAGACCAAAGTGTCCCCGTTGAAATCCTGGGGCATTCTAGTAATTTCAACCAAACAAAACCGCTCGTTGATGAAGTTGTGAACGCGATAATCTCCGGGGTTGACCCGATTCCGGTCAACGGTGGTCTTGGAGGTGCTTATTATTTCAAAAACTGTCAAGGTGAAAGTGTCGCTATTGTAAAACCAACAGATGAAGAGCCTTTTGCACCTAATAATCCAAAAGGGTTTATTGGGAAAACCCTTGGTCAACCAGGGTTAAAACGGTCAGTTCGCGTTGGTGAAACTGGTTTCAGAGAAGTAGCAGCTTATCTTCTTGATTATGATCATTTTGCTAATGTCCCCCCTACAGCTTTAGTCAAAATCACACATTCAATCTTCAATGTCAATGACAGTGTTTGCAACAACAACAACAAGAACAAGAACAATAACAATAACAAGAAGAAAACAGAAAGAAAGAAGAAGCTGTTTAGCAAGATTGCTTCATTTCAGCAATTCATCCAGCATGATTTTGATGCAAGTGATTATGGAACTTCAAGCTTCCCTGTGTCAGCTGTTCATAGAATCGGGATCTTAGATATTCGAATCTTTAACACAGATAGACATGGTGGAAATTTGTTAGTAAGAAAGATGAAAAGTTCTGAAGTTGGAAGATTTAGTGAAGTTGAATTGATACCTATTGATCATGGTCTCTGTTTACCTGAAAATCTAGAAGACCCGTATTTTGAATGGATCCATTGGCCACAAGCATCGATTCCATTTTCAGATGATGAACTTGAATACATTGAAAAACTCGATCCTTTTCATGATTCAGACATGTTAAGATCTGAACTTCCAATGATAAGAGAAGCTTGTTTAAGGGTTTTGATTTTGTGTACAATTTTTTTAAAAGAAGCAGCTGGATTTGGTTTATGTGTTGGTGAAATTGGGGAGATGATGAGTCGGGAATTTCGTAGGGGTGAAGAGGAACCGAGTGAACTCGAGGTTTTATGTATGGATGCAAGAAGATTATTAGCTGAAAAAGAAAATGAAAATGAAAATGAAAATGAAAATGATATCACCTTTGATAATCATGAAAATGAGAATCAATTTCAGTTTGAAATTGATTTTGAGGATTCTGTTTCTTCCTTTGACTTTACACCTAAAATGTCGGAGAATTTCATAAACAATAATCTTTCATTCCATTTGAGAAACCCGCTTTCGAAACTTGAAGAAGATGAAAGTGAAGAAGATGTTTCAAAGCTGTCAATGTCTTTGAAGAACAGCTGTAGTTTTAGTGATAAGCTGAAGAAGAAAACAGAGAATATGAGTTATGTAGGAGTGAATTCATCATCTGGACACAGGAGTGCCAATGAGTTGATGCCAGCTGGCGCTAGTTTTGTGAAGCTTTCAGACATGAATGAAGAAGAATGGAGTTTGTTTCTTGAAAAGTTTCAGGATTTGATTTACACAGCTTTTGCAAAACGTAAGTCAATTTCAATAGGACAAAGGCAAAGGCAAAGGCTTGGGACTTCTTGCCAGTTTTGAGAGATAGGATTATAATTACATGTTTTCATGTTGCATGTTTTAAGGGTTTGACTTTGAATAAGTTGACTTTCAGGGTTGTTGGAGTGAAGTCTTGGTTATTTAGGGTTTAGGGTTTCTTTTGTTGTTTTAATTAGTTGAGGGGTATGTTGTGTAAATATTCTTGAAAGACTACCTTTCTTTTAGTTGGTGAGGAGAGGATTGGGGTTGCACTTTAGTTGTATTTGTTGCTTACCTTTGTTCTTGTGTACGTTGTTTATATGAATAAAATATGTAGCAATGAAAATGTTATGTAGTATAGATTGAAAATTTAATTACAAGAAAAATCGTTTTACATAATTAAAAGTTATGAACAAAAATCATACATACATTAGATACAAACCAAATACAAACTTACAAATGCAAATACATTACCTGTGAAATAAGATTAATTAAATAATAATGTTAAAATAAACAAGTGTATAGATACTTGATAAATAGTTTGATGTTAGACGTGTCTCCATGGTCTTTCAGCAAGATTGACACATTCACTGAATCTAAAACAGTCAACGAGATGGTCAATGCTGATTCCAGCAGCTTGCATGAATGAGTAGACAATGACTGGGCCCACAAGTCGGAAGCCATGCTTGAGTAAATCTTTGCTAATGGCTTCTGCTTTTGGTGTTCTTAATGGTACGTTTCTTGGATGTCTGCATCTGTTGATTGTTGGTTTATAATTTACAGAACCCCACATGTATCCACTAAATGATCCATGTGTTTTAGCAATCTGAATCAATCAATAAACGATATTATATATATAACTCCAATTTTATATGTAATTATGAGTATAAATCAATGAGTGTTTTTAAGTTATAAAATGAAGTTACCTTGAGGATGCATTTGGCATTTTCAACAATGGATCTGACTCTACTTTCACCTAACATCATGTCCTTGTTCGAGGCTATTTCCATGATGTCTTCTTCACCCATTTTTGCAACGATATTTGGTTCGAATCCACAGAAAGCTTCTCTATAATTAATTAACGAAACAATACATCAAATGATAAAAATCACAATATTTCTTTTATTTTGACCCATTAAAGAAAGAATCAATTGTTTTTTTTTTTTTTTGTTACCTGACAAGATTCTTCCTTTTCAGGATTTCCGTCCAATTGTAATTCATCAGCATTCCACACAATGAAAGCAATTCGAACAGTTGGCTGTTTAGATGTTATTACAAGTTTCCAATTTAATGATCATTAATTGTTATTCAATCAACAGTTTCTATTGTACATTTTGACAATTTAAGGAAACATAAAAGATCACGTACTTGTCGTCATACACTGGAACTCCCCAGCATTCATCATGGAATTCAACATAAAGTTTATCTGAAAAAGAAAAACAACAAACAAAATCACAATCCAACATTTGTCTCATCATATACATACATACATACATATATACATGCACACATTTTAATAATCCAGAACTTTTTATGTGAAGGTCCTAATAATTAAGCGTAATAATTTTTGTACTTGTTAATCCATTTCATGAGTTAAAATGTTATATTTTTGAGTGATTGGGGTTGACTTCTTTTTTAAATGGTTTGGTGAATCCCAAAGAGTACCAAGAAGATACTAGAGTGGTTACAAATATAACATATTTTATAGGTGCTAATCATTAATCAACCAAGGGAATACAAATTTGGTATATTAGGTTCTATGTTTCTGTCACCAAACACCAAACTAATATAGAATTCATAGCAAAGAAAGTAAAATACTAATCAACTCCATGACTCACATTTGATTATCGTATTCATTTTTGGATAACTCTACACATTACAAATTAAAAACTTGATCATCGACATTTTGTAAGGAGCAAGGAATAGATTCCACATGCAAGTTGTTAATTCACTTATCATTTTATCACCTCTTTTGGAATAACATGCCATCATAAACAGATTAATTATATGTTGTATATATGATTGTATCAATATCATTCACATTAAGAACGTGACTATGCCTATGAACACAAGCTTGTCAAGTTTATATAAGAACTTAGTAAACTTACCACTGTTTTTAGTAATCCAATTGCATCTTCTCAAGCCTTGATCCTCACAGTTACTGGGATCCAAATTATTCACATGATTGCTACTAGTTTTAGCAACGGGTTGCTCTCTTCTAGAAGGTGTTGGTGCAATGATGAGTTGAAGTGCAGATGAGATTGTTTGCTCGAGTGTAGGAGAAGAATCTGTAAACGAGTCACTGGAGTTATGTGAAAGAGTTAAAGAAAGTGAAGATAAGGATAGAAGTGAGCTTGTTTTGTGAATCCCAACAGGGTAAACTTTCTTCAAGTGTTTGGATATGAGGCTTTGTGTTGATGAAGGTTTCTCTTTGTTACTCCTTGGATTTGGAGAAGTTGTGTTTTTCTTTTCTACAATGTTTCTCCTCATGTTTTCTTTCGACATTTTTGAATAAAGGGAAAATGGATACCTATCAACTATTGCTTTGAGTAAACAGGCTTGTGATTTGAATATTTATATAGGGGAGAGGGTGGATGTCAAATATAGGATATATACATGGTTGGTGAAATGTGGTGTTTTCTTTATGTACCACTACACCTTATTTTTCTCAAGAAATTAATTAAAGATTAATAAACTTAGTTTGAAAATGATGGTTGAATTTTTTTGAGGCTGGTCTTCAGGAAGATATTTCTCTTCAAAGTTTGTGAGTACATTTCTTTCAGAAACCATTACATATATCGATTGTTTATTAATATCAAGCCCTTATAAAGGCATGATTTGTCAACAATACCATCTTATCAATGGCTACAAGTATTAATAATAAGAATTTGCAGAATCTAATGAAGATTTTTGTAGTTACAAGTTATTAAGTTCAAATGATTTTTATATTGGATTTCAATTCTTTCATATATTTTTTCAATCTTATTACTAGCATTATTATATGTGATTCTTTTTATGCATGCTTTTATGTTCTAGTAATTGAAGTGGTTGGAATGTTCGTCTCAAAGAGGTAAAAACTTAAGTCCCACTCCAGTTGCACCTTATGTCTTGAGACATACCCATTGCCCAAATAGACAAAGATATCCCATCTGTTGTTCTTCCTGGTCTTTTACTACATGACCAGAGTCTTGCAAGTATCATGGGCTTTTTCACATTGATAGGGCTATTTTTGAAATACAAGGTAGCCAAAGATGCAAAAAACCAATAGATGCCTCTATGACACCTAAATGCCACAACGTATGTGATGTAAAAACTCTTTCTTTCTTTTGTTGCAAATAATCACTTCAAAATAATCTTAAGACTTTGCTTTTAATGATCAGTAAGTATCACCACTAAAAAACAAACTTTCAGACAACAAAAGCACCTATAAAAAAAAGTATGTCACTAATTAGCGATGGATCTTTGCTTAAAAACTACAGTATAATGCATTTTTTAGCATCCGTGACAGAAATAAGTTTGTAGCTAATCTGTCAAACAAATTTATCTATTTGGAGAAGATGATAATGTTCTTTAAAAATTCATTGCTAATCCATCTTTTGAAGTTATAAGAATTTTTTTTTAATTAATAATTTTTTTCGCTAAATTTGTAATTTCCTAAATCAATTTTTTCTTAAAATTTTAGTGTTTTTATAAATATATTTTTTATTGTAAAAAAACTACAAACATATAAGTTAAATTGGTTATCATTTTTTTAAATGAATAAGCAATGATCGAAACTGGATAAAATATCAACGGTAAAACACATGAATTTACAAATAGCATGTCGGAAAAATTTCACTTTGAAAAATTTTCAAAAAAATTACATTACGTTGGAAAATTTAAGGGTAGCATAGACTACCCTGTGCAACCTATTCCCGCCCCTATACTATCGAGTCACGAAGTACTGATGGTTCATACATATATATGTAGGTGTGGAATGTGTATATGTAACACCCATTTTCCAGAATGGATCAATTGGTGACCTGAATGAGTCAAATGTATGGTATTTTGGGAAAACCATATGCGACGACATGGTGGGATGGTGACCACGACGTGGCAAGTAGGATGCCACGATGTGGCGAGTGTTACAGCCACGCCCCTATTTTTTAGGGTTTTCTGTATATTTAAAGGCCTTATCTCTAGGGTTAGGTCATTTCCCATCAACCTCTACCCTGCTATCTCGAAACCCTAACATCTTCTCTTGTCTTTTGAGCTCTTTGTTGGCATTTTGGTCATTTGAAGGTTGAAGAAGGGCTTTGTTGAGCAAATGATCAACTAGCATCTTGTCTCCATCTCTTGGTGCATCTTTTGGACGTGTCTGAGTCTCCAAGTTCTCACGTTTATGATTCATTTTTTGTAGATCTAGACTTTTGGGCTCATTTTCCTTCATGATATGTTGGCATAAATGTTTGGTTTTGATAAAGTTGGCAACTTTATCACTTCTTGAGGTCCCTTGGTCATCATATGTTCCAGATCTAGACTTTCATGTTGCTTGGTGCAATGCATGGAGTTTTAACTCCATTTCTTACCCTATTTTGTCCTAGTTTGGGAGAGACATGTGTTGGGAATGCATGTCCATAAAGTAAGGATTTTTATGGTTCATTTGAGGGCATGGAAGCCTTCTGGAAAGTTGGAGCAAAGGACATAATAGATTAAGTCCTTAATGAGAAAATTGGCTTCTACTAGTAGCCACGACATGACGAAAGGATGACCATGACGTGGTGGAGTCAAACCTCGCAATTGTTTGTCCTAACATGCCCATGAAGTAACGATGCCTGCTTATTGTCTATTTTGTCCTGTCATGTCCACAACGTGACCAAGGGGTTTCCACATCGTGGTGGCTATTGATTTGGTTGACCTTTGACTTTTGTTGACCGTTGACTTATTTGACCTAGTTGACTTTTAGTCAAATTGTTGGTTTTAGAAGCTAGACTAAGGATTTACCATGTGTGATTAATTAGGAGGAGTGTAGCACATGTTGTTCGTCTATGTGAGCTTGTTAGCTGCCGATTGCGTTTATGAGG